AAGTTGAAGAAAGGTGTTGTCTTAGAATATACTTTACAGTCACTAGAGACTTCATTTTTCTTCAAATAATCCCCAACAGTTTTCCCAAGCTGAGACATTGATGCCTCCGAACAGGAGGATAATGCCTTTTTTTTCCCCCACTTACTTTATTGCATTTTAGGTTTTGGGGTACATGCGAAGAACACACAAGATTGTTGCGTAGGTACACACGTGGCAGTGTGATTTGCTGCCTTCCTCCCCATCACCTACATCTGGCATCTCTCCCCTTGCTATCTCTCCCCAGCTCCCCACCCTCCACCATCCCTCCCCTATTTCCCCCCAACTGACCCCGGTGTGTAGTGTTCCCCTCCCTGTGGCCATGTGTTCTCATTGTTCACCCGCCGATGAGTGAGAGCATGCGGTGTTTGATCTTCTGCTCTTGTGTCAGTTTGCTGAGAATGATGGTTTCCAGGTTCATCCATGTCTCTACAAACACACAAACTCATCGTTTTTGATGGCTGCATAATATTCCATGGTGTATATGTGCCACATTTTCCCTGTCCAGCCTATCATCGATGGGCATTTGGGTTGGTTCCAGGTCTTTGCTATTGTAAACAGTGCTGCAATGAACATTCGTGCGCACATGTCCTTATAGTAGAACGATTTATAATCCTTTGGATATATACCCAGTAATGGGATTGCTGGGTCAAATGAAATTTCTATATCTAGGTCCTTGAGGAATCGCCACACTGTCTTCCACAATGGTTGAACTAATTTACTCTCCCACCAACAGTGTAAAAGTGTTCCTATTTTTCCACATCCTCTCCGGCATCTGTTGTCTCCAGATTTTTTAATGATCGCCATTCTAACTGGTGTGAGATGGTATCTCAATGTCGTTTTGATTTGCATTTCTCTGGTGACCAGTGATGAGCATTTTTTCATATGTTTGTTGGCATCATGTATGTCTTTTGTAAAGTATCTGTTCATATCCTTTGCCCATTTTGAATGGGCTTGTTTTTTTTTTTTCTTGTAAATCTGTTTTAGTTCTTTGTAAATTCTGGATATCAGCCCTTTGTCAGATGGGTAAACTGCAAAAATTTTTTCCCATTCTGTTGGTTGCCAATTCACTCTAATGACCTTTTCTTTTGCTGTGCAGAAGCTGTGGAGTTCGATTAGGTCCCATTTGTCTATTTTGGCTTTTGTTGCCAATGCTTTTGGTGTTTTGGTCATGAAGTCTTTGCCTACACCTATGTCCTGAATGGTTTTGCCTAGATTTTCTTCTAGGGTTTTTATGGTGTTAGGTCTTAGGTTTAAGTGTCTAATCCATCTGGAATTAATTTTAGTGTAAGGTGTCAGGAAGGGGTCCAGTTTCTGCTTTCTGCACATGGCTAGCCAGTTTTCCCAACACCATTTATTAAACAGGGAATCCTTTCCCCATTGCTTGTTTTCTTCTGGTTTCTCAAAGATCAGATGGTTGTAGATGTGTCGCCTCCGAGACCTCTGTTGTGTTCCATTCGTCTATATCTCTGTTGTGGTACCAGTACCATGCTGTTTTGATTACTGTAGCCTTGTAGTATAGTTTGAAGTCTGGTAGTGTGATGCCTCCTGCTTTGTTCTTTTTGCTTAGAATTGACTTGGCTATGCGGGCTCTTTTGGTTCCATATGAAGTTTAAGGTGTTTTTTTCCAGTTCTGTGAAGGTCATTGGTAGCTTCATGGGGATAGCATTGAATCTGTAAATTACTTTGGGTAGTATAACCATTTTCATGATATTGATTCTTCCTAACCATGAGCATGGAATGTTTCTCCATCTGTTTGTGTCCTCTCTTTCATTGAGCAGTGGCTTGTAGTTCTCCTTGAAGAGGTCCTTTACGTTCCTTGTTAGTTGTATTCCTAGGTATTTTATTCTCTTTGTGGCAATTGTGAATGGAAGTTTGTTCTTGATTTGGCTGTCTTTCAGTCTGTTATTGGTGTATAGGAATGCATGCGATTTCTGCACATTGATTTTGCATCCTGAGACTTTGCTGAAGTTGCTTATCAGTTGCAGGAGCTTTGGGGCTGAGACGATGGGGTCTTCTAGATATACAATCATGTCGTCTGCAAATAGACAATTTGAATTCCTTCTTTCCTATTTGAATACCCTTTATTTGTTTTTCTTGCCTGGTTGCTCTGGGTAGAACTTCTAGTGCTATTTTGAATAGGAGTGGTGAGAGAGGGCATCCTTGTCTAGTGCCACATTTCAAGGGTAATGCTTCCAGTTTTTGCCCACTCAGTATGATATTGGCTGTTGGTTTGTCGTAAATAGCTTTCATTATTTTGAGATACGTTCCGTCAATACATGGCTTATTGAGGGTTTTTAGCATAAAGGGCTGTTGAATTTTGTCAAAGGCCTTCTCTGCATCAGTTGAGATAATCATGTGGTTTTTGTCTTTGGTTCTGTTTATGTGGTGAATTACATTTATAGACTTGTGTATATTGAACCAACCTTGCATCCCCGGGATGAAGCCTACTTGATCGTCGTGGATAAGCTTTTTGATGTGCTGTTGCAATCGGCTTGTCAGTATTTTGTTGAAGATTTTTGCATCTATGCTCTTCATGGATATTGGCCTGAAGTTTTCTTTTCTTGTTGAGTCTCTGCCAGGTTTTGGAATCAGGATGATGTTGGTCTCATAAAATGATTTGGGAAGGATTCCCTCTTTTTGTATTGTTTAAGTAGTTTCAGAAGGAATGGTACCAGCTCCCTTTGTATGTCTGGTAGAATTTGGCTGTGAACCTGTCTGGACCTGGGCTTTTTTTGGGTGGTAAGCTCTTAATTGCTGCCTCAACTTCAGACCTTGTTATGGGTCTGTTCAGGGTTTCGGCTTCTTCCTGGGTTAGGCTTAGGAGGAGGCAAGTGTCCAGGAATTTATCCATTTCTTCCAGGTTTACTAGTTTCTGTGCATAGAGTTGTTTGTAATAATCTCTGATTTGAATTTCTGTGGAATCTGTGGTGATATCCCCTTTATCGTTTTTTATTGCATCAATTGGGTTATTTTTTTATTAATCTGGTTAGTGGTCTATTTTGTTGGTCTTTTCAAAAAACCATTCCCTGAATTTGTTTTTTGAAGGGTTTTTTGTGTCTCTGTCTCCTTCGGTTCTGCTCTGATCTTAGCTATTTCTTGTCTTCTGCTAGACTTTGAGTTTTTTTGATCTTGCTCCTCTAGCTCTTTCAGTTTTGATGATAGGGTGTCAATTTTTGATCTCTCCTTGCTTCTCATGTGGGCACTTATTGCTATATATTTTCCTCTAGAGACTGCTTTAAATGTGTCCCAGAGATTCTGGTTTGTGTCTTCATTCTCGTTGGTTTCAAAGAACATCTTTATTTCTGTCTTCATTTCATTGTTTATCCAGTCCACATTCAAGAGCAAGTTGCTCAGTTTCCATGAAGCTGTGCGGTTCTGGGTTAGTTTTTGAATTCTGAGTTCTAACTTGATTGCACTGTGGTCTGAGAGACTGTTATGATTTCTGTTTTGCATTTGCTGAGGAGTGATTTACTCCCAATTATGTGGTCAATTTTAGAGTAGGTGTGATGTGGTGCTGAGAAGAATGTATATTCTGTGGATTTGGGGTGAAGAGTTCTGTAGGTGTCTATTAGGTTTGCTTGGTTCAGGTCTGAGTTCAAGTCCTGGATATCCTTGTTAATTTTCTGTCTGGTTGATCTGTCTAATATTGACAATGGGGTGTTAAAGTCTCCCAGTATAATTGTGTGGGAGTCTAAGTCTCTGTGAGTCATTAAGAAGTTGCCTTATGTATCTGGGTGCTCCTGTATTGGGTGCGTATATATTTAGGATCGTTAGCTCTTCTTGTTGCATTGATCCTTTTACCATTATGTAATGTCATTCTTTGTCTCTTTTCATCTTTGTTGCTTTAAAGTCTAATTTATCGGAGATGAGAATTGCAACTCCTGTTTTTTTTTCCTCTCCATTTGCTTGGTAAATCTTCCTCCGTCCCTTTATTTTGAGCCTTTGTGTATCCTTGCACGTGAGATGGGTTTCCTGGATACAGCACACCGATGGGTTTTGTCTTTTTATCCAATTTGCCAGTCTGTGTCTTTCGATTGGGGCATTTAGTCCATTTATATTTAGGGTTAATATTGTTATGTGTGAATTTGATAGTGCCATTTTGGTGCTAGCTGGCTGTTTTGCCCATTAGTTGATGCAGATTCTTCTTTGTGTTGATTCTCTTTACCATTTGGCATGTTTTTGGAGTGGCTGGTACTGGTTGTTCCTTCATATGTGTAGAGCCTCTTTCAGGAGCTCTTGTAAAGCTGGCTTGTTGGTGACGAAATCTGAGTACTTGCATGTTCACAAAGGATTTTATTTTTCCTTCACTTATGAAGCTTAGTTTGGCTGGATAGGAGGTTCTGGGTTGAAAGTTCTTTTCTTTAAGGATGTTGAATATTGGCCCCCCACTCTCCTCTGGCTTGTAGGGTTTCTGCTGAGAGATCTGCTGAGTCTGATGGACTTCCCTTTGTGGGTAACCCGACCTTTCTCTCTGGCTGCCCTTAGTATTTTCTCCTTCATTTCAACCCTGGTGAATCTGATGATTATGTGCCTTGGGGTTGCTCTTCTTGACGAATATCTTTGTGGTGTTCTCTGTATTTCCTGGACTTGAATATTGGCCTACCTTGCTAGGTTGGGGAAGTTTTCCTGGATAATATCCTGAAGAGTATTTTCCAGCTTGGATTCATTCTCTTCGTCGCATTCGGGTACGCCTATCAAACATAGATTAGGTCTTTTCACATAGTCCCACATTTCTTGGAGACTTTGTTCATTCCTTTTTACCCTTTTTTCTCTATTCTTGCCTTCCCATTTTATTTCATTGAGTTGATCTTCAACCTCTGATATCCTTTCTTCTGCTTGGTCCATTCGGCTGTTGATACTTGTGCTTGCTTCGCGAAGTTCTCGTGTTGTGTTTTTCAGCTCCATCAATTCACTTATATTCCTTTCTACTTTGTCCATTCTCGTTAGCATTTCGTCAAATCTTTTTTCAACGTTCTTAGTTTCTTTGCATTGGGGTAGAACATGTTCTTTTAGTTCACAGAAATTTCTTACTACCCACCTTAGGTCTGATTCTGTCATTTCATCACACTCGTTCTCCACCAAACCTTGTTCCCTCGCTGGTGAGGAGTTTTGTTCCCTTGTAGGAGGAGAGGTGTTCTGGTTTCGGGTGTTTTCATCCTTTTTGCACTGGTTTCTTCCCATCTTTATGGATTTGTCCACCCGTCGTCTTTGTAGTTGCTGGCTTTCAGATTGGGTCTCTGAGTTGGACGTTCTGTTTGTTGATGAGGTTATTTCTGTTTCTTGGTTTTCCTTCTGACAGTCTGGCCCCTCTGCTGTAGGTCTGCTGAGGTCCACTCCAGGCCCTGCTTGCCTGGGGTTCACTTGCAGTAGCTGCTGAACATTAAGGGTTGTTACCAGTTTTCTTCTGCTATATTTGTCCCAGAAGGATACCCGCCAAGTGTCAATCTGATCTCTCCTTTATGAGGTGGCTCTTTGGATATACAGGGGTCAGGGAGCTGCTTGAGGAGACGATCTCTCCTTTATAGGAGCTCAAATGCTGAGCTGTGAACTCCATTGTTCAGAGCTGCTGGGCAGGTACGTTTATATATATAGTCACATTTTTCAATTTGTTCCTGAGATGGAACCTATTTGTGGAAATAAATGACTTATTTAGAGTTCTAATTATTCTAGACCTGCAGGGAGCTATCAGGAGTACATAGTTTACATCCAAAATTAATGGATTCTGTTATCTTTTTGGTTTTTAAAAATCATCATAAATAATTCTACAGATTATATCTATAGATTCCATATACTTTGCCTGTCCTGGGTTTAATGACATTTGCAACCTATTCTTGAAAGAGGTGAAATAACTGTCACAATGCCATGGCAGTGACTGTCTCAACAGTGAGAAACATGGAGGTTGTGGGTAACTGAAGCAACAAGGCACAGAGACAGCAGCTTCTACACAACGTCCAGTGTGAATCTCCCAGGGACTAGGATCCTTTTTCACAGATATTCCCTGTCCTTAACCTCCTCTGCACTTTAACTCAAGAAGCTTTGCTGATAAGTTTCACTGAGGGTCAAAATACAATGCAGGGCCAGGCACGGTGCCTCACGCCTGTAATCCCAGCACTTTGGGGGGCCGAGGAGGGTGAATCACCTGAGGTCAGGAGTTCGAGAGCAGCCTGGCCGACATGGTGAAACCTCATCTAAAAATACAAAAATTAGCTGGGTATGGTGGCCAATGCCTGTAATCCCAGCTACTTGGGAGGCTGAGGCAAGAGAGTCACTTGAACCTGGGAGACAGAGGTTGCCCTGAGTCAATATCGTGCCACTGCACTCCAGCGTGGGGGACAGAACTAGACTCCATCTCAAAAAAAGAAAAAAAAAAAAGTATGGTGCAGTATTATAACTAACTCTGACCAAACGGAAAAATAGTGAAAAAGAAGACCTGCCATTTGTCAAAGACCTACTGTGTGCCCCATGTTCTCTACACACGTTGGCTCATTTCATCTTCTACGTGCCATTTGGGATCATAGAGACACCCAGAGCTCAGCTTTGGCCTCGCGTTCAGCTGAAACCCTGCTGTCTGCCTTTGCTCCCTCTCTGGAAGCCTGCTTCAGCCTTATTTATGTCACTCCTGAACTTGCATCTGATCAATGGTCCTCTCCTTGCATAGGTTACCACTGTATCTAATCATTATAAGAACGTTAGTGATACAAACGTGGTGTGACATTTCAATTTGCTGTTAATATTAAAATTCAGTATTCACTTTTAAATATAGGTAAACATTCTACGTGACACTTGAAGTAGAAAACCTCCTTTAAGTGTTTAGAGATTGGAATTCTATCGAACTATGAATTCATACTTCTTCTTCTCATTATTATTATTATTATTTTGAGACAGAGTCACCCAGGCTGGAGTGCATTGGTGCAATCTTGGGTCACTACAACCTCCATTTCCTGGGTTCAAGCGATTCCCCTGCCTCAGCTTCCCCAGCTGCTGGGATTACAGGCACCAGCCATCACATTCAGCTAACTTTTTAGTAGAGATGGGATTTTGCCACGTTGGCCAGGCTGGTCTTGAACTTCTGACTTCAGGTGATCCACTCACCTTGGCCTCCCAAAGTGCTGGGATTACAGGCATGAGCCACTGGGCCTGGTCAGTACACTATTAACTTTTAAAAGTAGATAGACATTCTACATGAAACTTGGAGTGAAAAATCTCCTTGAAGATTGGAATTCTATCAGTCCAAGTCAATGTATGAATTCATACTTATTATTGCAAAACTGTGGTGATTGCAAATTCATTAATCTTACGTAAAAAAAAGCATGTTTTAGGATACATATCTTTATTTGGGTCCACAAATGTTCATGCAAATTTAGATGATAATACATGGCAGAATAAAAAAGATTAACAGTGGCTCATGCCTATAATCCCAGCACTTTGGGAGGCCAAGGCAGGAGGATCACTTGAAGTCAGGAGTTTGAGTCCAGCCTGGGCAACATAGTAAGAGCTCTGTCTCTACAAAAAAAAAAAAAAAAAAAAACTTGTTTTTAATGTAGCCAGGTGTGGTAGTATGAGCCTATAGTCATAGCTGGGAGGCTGAAGCGGGAGGATCACTTGAGTCCAGGAGCTTGAGGCTTCAGTGAGCTGTGATCGCACCACTGCGCTCCAGCCTGTGTGACAATGTGAGATTCTGCCTCAAAAAAGAAAAAATCACAAGGAAGGAATACTCCCAAATCATTCTACAACAAGGCGTGTTATACATCATCTTTGATTCAGATGTAATAAAGACTAACGGGAGAAAAGTAGAATATTTATATTAAAATGAGCGAGTCAAACACCTTGCTTCTCTAACGATCACGGGTGGAAGTAGGCTCTCTTTATATGTATAGTAGTCAGCTGGCAGAGGAGAAATCTTGCTGACAGTGGAGAAATTATTGTATCTTCCCCATCATGTCACACTTATAACATTTTGACATGATGTTTTATCATTAAAGTTGTAGGATAAAAACTTTAATGATAAAAACATGTCAATGTGGCAGGTTGAATGCAAGAATGGCTCGAATTCTCTACCCCTGCTCAGCATCAGCATCACCTGGGAACTTGTTAAAGGCAGGTTCTCAGGCTCACCTCGGCCTGCGGAATCAGAACTAGAGTCAGGCTCAGCAATCTGGGCTCCAACATACACTACTTATTTTATTATTTTATTTTATTTTTTGAGACAGACTCTTGTTCTGTTGCCCAGGCTGGAGTGCAGTGGTGCAATCTCAGCTCACTGCAGCCTCTACCTCCTGGGCTCAAGCAATCTTCCTGTCTCAGCCTCCTGAGTAGCTGGGGCTACAGGGGAACATCACCATGCCCAGCTAATTTTTGTGTTTTTTTGTAGAGACAAGGTCTCGCCATGTTGCCCAGGCTGGTCTTGAACCCTTGAGCTCAAGTGATCCGCCTGCCTTTGCCTTTCAAAGTGCTGGGATTACAGATCTGAGCCACCACGCCCAGCCTCTAACACACTCTCCATGATTCTGATCCTGCTGAAGCCTGAGCGCCACCAGGCAAGAGAACAGTGTCACTCCAAAGGAGGGTTTCCTCCTTCCCATGCTTTCAGTGTGGGTCTTACTCTCCGTCCAAGAAGGTAGAACTAGGTAGCTCTTACCTTCCTAGTTCTCTGCTCTCAGAGGTTCCTGCAGAAATTGGAATTTCCTTGTTCTGTGGCTCAGTTTGTTAAAAATGAAAGTGTGCAGGAGAAAAAGTGAAGGGTAGGAGGAGGTAGCTAGCAACTGAGCTTGGCCTGTCATGACCGTGGCCTGCCGGTGACCGTGGTCTGCCCGTGGCCGTGGCCTCCTGCCGTCACCTCACTTTCCTCTGGTTTCCGGGGCAGGCCAGCAGCCCCCCCTCTCCTTCAGTGGAACCCTCTGGCTGCTCTGAGGAGGTCGAAGCACCTTGTATGTCATGTGAAAAATATTTCCAAGCAAAGTGCTTTGCCTCCAGCTGCGAAATTGATCAGTGGCTTAAAATCCCCAAGGAGTGTCTGCCACCAGCTGGAGTTGCTATTTTAAACCTGGACAAAAAAGAGTGAGTGAGAGGGGAAGAAGGGATTGTGTATTACGTACAGGAAGAAAGCATTTTTAAAGTACTTTTTTCCTCAATTGGGGAATGGCACACAGGGAAAGAAATATATGAGGAAATATGATATGATTTTACTTTCTATATTCAAATTTTTGTTCAAATAGCCTAAAATTTAGTTAACTGTAGCAAAGCTCCTTCTGAACTTAGAATCGAGAAGTTTAGCTTTTGGGGATTTAAGGGATTGTGGAATTAGGTGAAAAAGAAGATGAAACTCCGCCCCTGCAGACTCTGGGGAAGGCGTGTTCCTTGCTGACCGCGTGCCCTGGGTGAACTGTCTGGTTACATTCAGGAGCACGCTATGAAATACGGCATGGAAATCAAAAGTGCCTTTTACAATAGACATGACAGGTTCAAATTATTCCTCAGATCTGGACTTTTTCCCCTCCAAGTTCATTGTTCTCCGTAAAACTGAGTTTCAAATGTCCAGGTAAAACCTGCCAATCATTCACTGCCTGAGGGCACGAAGCCTGCAGAAAAGTTAGCCATGGATCATTCCATTAATGTTGCCATAACTTGTATTTTTTACTGATACCTAATATACATATTTATAGGGTACATGTGATGTTTTGATATATACATATAATATGTAGACCAAATCGGGGTAATTGGGGTATCCATCACCTCAAATGTTTATCATTTCTTTGTTTTTTTGAGACAGAATCTTGCTCTGTCACCAGGCTGGAGTGCAGTGGTATGATCTCAGCTCACTGCAACCTCCACCTCATGGGTTCAAGTGATTCTCCTACTTCAGCCGCCTGAGTAGCTGGGACTACAGGCACATGCCACCAGACTCGGCTAATTTTTGTGTTTTTAGTAGAGATGCGGTTTCCTCATGTAGGCCACGCTGGTCTTGAACTCCT